GCAGGACGGTAAGGAGATGGGGTCCGGCTGGGTCGTGGGGCTGGGGACTGTCCTGCTCCGCACCTGGGCCAGGGTGGCGGACTCATTCCGTGGCTTTGTAGAAAGTTTTCCGGTCTCGACGTGACCACTCCCCAACGCCCGGCCCCCTGGCATCCCGGTACTGGCCTAGCCAACCTGTTTCCTCCGGGACGTGCTTTCTCTTCTTTTGCGGTGTTTTGGGGACATCTGGCTTCTGGTTGCAACTCATTTCAACCCCCCCCCCCCCCCCACTGTCCCTGGGGCTTCCGTGAAGTTGCAGGAGCTTGCAGCCCGCACCTGGGGCCCTACGTTGGCTGTCACCGACCGCAGCAGCAGTTTTTCACGAAGGCATGAAGCGTTCGAGCTCATTTAAAGTGTAAGACCTAGAACAGATGACAGCCGCTTAGTGAAATGAGGGATCGTCTTTAAGTAGAGTTGGAAACTCCTCCTTTAACAAATTCTTGGACTGTACAGGTGGCCCCTCTGGCAGCCTTTGTTTTTTTTAAGTGAGTAGGTTAATTTTCCACAATCACACATGGGGGAGGGATTAACCATTTGTATTGAGCATGGCAGTCGGGTTTTTTGCTGGTCAGTATTGGAGAGAAGTTACCCAAAATAAGAAAAGTTAAATATTGTATACTTGAAAAACACATTTATATTAATCCAGTTACCATGTCCCAAATCTCTTATCTTTCAGAATGAAGTTCAAACTTCTAAGCATAAAAATAAGGTCCTTCTCGCCTGTTAACAACTTTTTCCTTAATGGTCATCAAATTCTGCCCCCTATTAAAATCATTCGTATACTTTCCTTAACATCTTCTGTATTGTGAACCTTTTTTTGTATCCCTCAGAGTGAATAGTGATATCTAGCATACAATAGGTGCAGAATACATGTTTTAAAAGTTGAACATCACAGTAAGAAGCATATGCACACATTTGTAGATTAAGGTGGGTTTAAAATGATTGAAATAAAGTTCTAAATTATTGTTTGCTTTCTCCGTTGAATATTTTATCATTGTCTTTAATTACTTGCCTTCTCGTGATAATTTATATACTTTTCTCAAAACTAATGATGTTGTTTTCTGAACTACATTGTGTTAGATTCTCTAGGTTAGGGTTTCTAATGCATCTTTGTATCTTAAACATAATTTAGCCAAGTTTTGAGCTCCTGATATATATGCAGTTCATGCCCTCAAGTAGTTCATCATCCAGCAGGGAAAATAACCTTGTAGAGCTATAAAGGTAGGCACTGCAATACAGTGTGGCTGTAAGAGTGCATACAAAGTAAAGCAGTAATACAGAGGTTGGTAATTGGAGGCTAAGGACTGATTAAGGAGTATCAGGAAAGGTGTTCTAGGTGGAGTGGTTTTGAAGTGTAAATATGACTCTCCCAGGTGAACAATGGAAGGAGCAACACAGGCCAAATGATGAATATATGTTATATAAACTATAAACTTAACCTATAACTATCCTTTGCTTCTTTTTTCCCTTGCATTTCCAATTACAACAGAAATGGAGTCTCTGCTCCTTCCTAAGGACAGTCCCTCCTATTTTGCTCTGGATTTTCTTCCTGTCTCCTCAGAGACCCAATCACCCCATTTTATGCCATTGAAGTTACTTTGGATATATTTCACAAATTATAATCAGTTCTTGAAGGGTAAATACTGTTCAGTTCTGCCTTCTGTATTTTCCTGTTTGGTTCTCTTTGCCATTCTTTATTTAAATCTTCTTTACCCTTTTCAAATCTTTCCTTCAAGCTCAACAAATGACTTCTTTTTTCTCCTTTTTTTTTTGAGTTGATGTCTCACTCTGTCACCCAGGCTGGAGTGCAGTGTCATAATTACAGCTCACTGTAGCCTAGACCTCCTTGGTTCAGGCGATTGATACTGCCCGCTTATCCTCTCAAGTAGCTGGGACTACAGGGAAGCACCACTTCCTGCCTAATTTTTGTCATTTGTTGTAGAGATGAGGTCTTGCTCTGTTGCCCAGGTGCCCAGGGTGGTCTCATACTCCTAGGCTCAAGTAGTCCTCCCACTTTGGCCTCCCAAAGTGCTGGCCAACAGACAACTTTCAACTTTCTTATAAAAAAGAATCCATCAGATTGGAACTTTCATTTTTTTTTTTTGCCATCAAACCTATAAACTTAACTGAACCTATAACCATCCTTTGCTTCTTTTTTCCTTGCATATTTTCAATTACAACAGAAATGGAGTCTCTGCTCCTTCCTAAGACAATCCCTTTTTTTGCTCTGGATTTTCTTCCCATCTCCTCAGGACCCAATAACCTCATTCTATGCCATTAAGATCACTTTTCAAGGTCTCTTAATGACTTTCTTTTGGATATATCAAATGGACACTTTTTTAGTCCTTATCTTACTTGTAACAGGGTTTGACCTCTTTGTTGAAATACTTTCCTCATGTGGCTTACGGGTGTCATGCTTTTTAAAAATGTCTAATTCTCTAGGTGGTTTTTTTTTTTTTTTTTTTTGAGTCGGAGTCTCACTCTGTTGCTCAGACTGAAGTGCAGTGGCACGCTCCTGGCCAATGCAGCCTCAACCTGCTGGGCTCCGGTGATCCTTCCACCTCAGCCTTCTAAGTAGCTGAAACTCTGGATGTGTACTACCACACCCGGCTAGTTTTTGATTTAGTGTAGAGATGAGGTCTTGCCAAGTTGCCCAGGTGGGTCTCGAACCCATGGGCTCAGGGCAATCCACTTGCCTCAGTCTCCCAAATTGCTGGGATTACAGGTGAAGCCACTGAGCCTGGCCTCTCTAGGTGCTCTTTTTCACTTTCCTGTAGATGCTTATTTGTTCAGTTTGTCCCTAATTCAGCAGTCTCCTTTGTACCCTTCCATACCCAACATTCCTGAGAAATTAAGCATTTTCATGAGCAATTGTGATTCATTATTTCAGAGATTTGGCTGCTGACAGAGGATAGGAGTGATGGAATTGGTGAGCAGATGCATAGTTTGAAAATTTTGGTTTCTGATGTGCCTTCTATGGGAATGAAGAAACTATGAAAGAGAAATATTTAATTTATCTGTCAATCCTCAAATGCCAAACCTAGTGACAGTATTCACCTTTGTGTTTGATCTTTGTAAGCTCTTTAACACTGCTACCACTTTCTTTAATACAGTCTTTTGGCTGTGTCATTCTTTCCTGCTTTTCCTTTTCTCTGATCATGCTTTTGTCTCTTTGATTACTTTCATTTTCTCTATTCACCTACACATTTCTGGTGTTTTCCTGGCTTCTGATCCCTGTTTTCCCATTTCTCTGTTCCTCTTTTTTTTTTTTTTTGAGTTGTAGTCTCACTTTGACGCCCAGGCTGGAGTGCAGTGGCACACTCACGGCCACCCCAGCGTCGACCTGCTGGGCTCCGGCGATCCTTCCGCCTCAGCCTTCCAAGTAGCCAGAACTATAGGCGTGTGCTACCATGCCCAGCTAATTTTTTATTTATTGTAGAGACAAGGTCTCGCCAAGTTGCCTGGGCTGGTCTCAAACATGTGGGCTCAGGCAATCCACTCGCCTCGGCCTCCCAAAGTGCTGGGATTACAGACTGAAGCACCTAGCCCGGCCTCCCTGTTCGTGTGCACGCATGCGCAAACTCTAAATTTTTTTCCTAAATCATCTTTTTTGTGGTTTCAGTATGGCTGATCCTTACCTCTCTTCTGAACTGTAGAAATATATTTTTAACTAGCTACTGGACACTTCTTTTTTTTTTTAAAGAGAAGTTCACCGACTGATGGACATGTCTGTCTTGTTAGTGAACAAGCAGTACTAGTTCTACATATGAAAACCTACATATGAACAGATAGTACAAGTTCTACATATGAAAAAATGAAGTGAATTCATTTTTTTTCCACTCTTCTTTCCTAACCCTTTTCTCTGGGAGTCTCTGTTACTATGTTAACTATGTGGTTAGTTAAATGTTTGCTTGTTCCCACGTAGATTATGAGCTACTTAGAGGCAGGATTTTGTTCATGTTCATCATTGTATATTCAGTGCCTAATAGTCAAGCTTAGTGCAAAATCAAATTCCCTATGTCAGTTGCTTAATCAAGAAACTTGGGATTTGTCCATGATTTGCTCCACCTAATCACCCATTTGCAGCTTGTCATTAGGTCTTGTTATGCTGTTTGAATGTCACCTTTATTACTACTTTTTTGGCTTTCTTAGTGCCACTGTCTTGTTCAGGCCTTCATTATGTCAGTTAGACTGTTAACGTAGTACCTTTCTGGGCTCTGTGGCTCTATTCCTTGGGTTTGCTGGTAAATCAGCTTTCTGGGGGAATAGAAGAAGCCTGATTTTGTAGTGTATGCTGATTTCCATGGTGTAAATACAGGTTGATTTTAAGATAACTACGTATAATGTTAATTGGATCACAGAATTCCTGAATATGTAACAGTTGGCTCTCAAGAACCAATAAGAGCCAACTTCAGCACACTGCTGAATGACTAATCCCTTTTCAGTCATCCTCCATACCACTGCCAGAATTATTTTTTGGAACACAAAGCTGACAGTGCAATTTCTTGACTTAAATAAGATATAGTTAGAACATTTTGGATGTCTTACTAACCTCTTTTCATATTGCCCTCCAATCTTTGGAATCCCATCTGTCATTCTTAATCATTTCTGCCCAGTATACATACTCTGATCTAGACATACTAAAGCCCATAATCACTTTATTTCTCAAAATATGCCATGGCATTTGCTGCTACTAAGCCTTCCCTTTGCTTGGAGTGGCCTTCTCCATTTGTCTGCCTGACAGGGTCCTTAATTCTGAGAACCACTTGGCAAATTAGAAGAAAATGTGATTCTCAGAATTAAAAACTAGCCAAAGTAGCAGTTTCTTTCTTTCATTCCACTACATTTGAGAGTAGTCAATAATGAACTTTTGTTTTTAGCAGAATGATACTTTCACTTAATATATACATCAGTTAATTCACTCCACCAATATTGAGCACCTGCAATGTTTCTGGTGTTGTTTGGGCACTGGGGATGTGGTAGTAATTTAAGTTTTCTTATAAATTACCTATTTTACTTGTTTCATCATTTGTTTGGGCAGCCTTATCTATATCTACCATATGGTTAGGAGGTTGTGTTGTATACTTATCTTGAGCTCACTTTTATGTATCTATTTTTAACTTTTAATTCTCTACATTTTTCTTTCATCCACAGATTTGTGGATTTCTATATAGAAAGATATCTTTTTAACATCTAGCACCACTTCTTTTTCCTGTCTATTAAGAGCCTATATTGAAAAATTTTTCTTACCACTTACTTATTTCACCCATATATTCTAAATTTCAGTAACACTTGTAAGTTTGTATTTCCTGTTTCTATTAAAATTCCAAATTCACATCATTCTAACAGTATTTGTGTATTGATCTAGAGATATCTGAGACCATAAATATTACATACAGCCAGTTTTCCTCTTGTCTTTTCACTGGCAACTACTTTGTTTTCTTGGATTAAAGGTTATGGTTAGTAGTAATGTTTTTAATCTTTTACTCAATGTTTTCTTTACTTTTGAGTTACAATAAAAGTAAGCACCCAGAAGTATAGCAGAATGGTTCAGAGTATGGCTTCAAAATTTGTTAATTATGATTATAATTGTTCTGTGATTTAGTATGGGTAATTAAGAACTTTTTCTTATTTTTTTTTATCTCTAGAGTGTTATAGTGCCTTTTTAAATGAAGACTTTGATGTAAAGACTTATACTTCTCAATCTATTCATCAAGCTGTAATTGCAGAACAACTAGCAAAACTTGCCCAAGGAATCAGTCAGCTGGATAAAGAACTACACTCTCAGGTAATTCTGATCTTCAGGATCATTCATATTATTCAGCCTAAAGTGACAATTTAACATTTTTGTAATCTTATTATTGTTAAATATGCATATTTACAGGGATAAACAATACCAGTATGATGTAATTTTCAAAGCTCATTTTTTAAAAATGGTGAAAGATTTATTCGTTCTGAAGAGAAACTAGAGCATCAAAACTCATTTTTTAAGTTTTTGGCAAACTGTGTTTTGTTAGTTGAAAAACTAATGTACCACCTCTCTAAAACTTTTTGTTCATGCTTCCTGTTCACCACCTGAGCTGATGTGCAATGAATACAGGGTGAACCCAAAAAACCCTGGAATTAATTTTTGGAAGATGGGTCCCTTGTAGTACAGGGTTCTTCCCCTAGGTAAGTGTTCTAGGAACTTATCAGCATCGGCATATCAGCTAGTGTTACATCAGTGTACCAGCTAGCGTTGTTGTGAGAGGCTGCGTTCAACTTTATTGAATTATTTTTGGAGATTCTTTCAACTTGTTTGCACATTTCCTGATGGGTGATTTACTAGCACACCTGCCCACACCATGCTAAGTGTTCAGGTTTTGATGAAAATCAGCATGACCCTCATGCGCCACCTTCCTTATTCACTTGATCTTGCCCCCAGTGACTTTTTATTGTTTCCCCAGAAGAAAAAACATTTCCTCAAAGGGAAACGTTTTGCCACTGTGGAAGAGGTGAAACAAAAAATGGCAGAAACACCAAAAGGCATCAAAATTGATGAGTTCAGATTGTTTTGAGCAGTGGAAAAAGTGTCTTGATAGATGTGTTGCATCAAACGGATAGTACTTTGAGGATGAGTTTAAACATGGAAGAATAAATATACAATTTTTAATAAATAAATTATGGTTATTTTTGGATCCCCCCCTTGTATAGTGGCAAAAAATAGGACACACTTCGTAAAGATTATAGAAAGTGCAATTTTGGAAGTAAAACAATATTTTAAAAATTGGGATATTACATTGGCAGTTCATACTTTATAATCACAAAGTGTAACACTTGCTGAAATTACAGAAAGTTGGGAAATGTTACGGTGAGTAGGCTACAACATGAGGAATTAGGAGATGGGTCCTGATCTCAGCTATGCTGTTAACTGACCTTCATATCACTTCATGTCTTGAGTTTTGCATTTCCTGTTTGATTTTTAATCTTTCAAATGGACTGAAATGAGTAAGAGAAAGGAGACTGAAGTAGATCATCTTGAGGGTTCCTTCCTCTTGACAATTCTGTAATTTTTATAGGGTGATTTGATGTTGTAATTTCTAGTGTTGTCTTTTATCTGAGTAGGTATTTAATAAATATTTAAATGAATGAACAAATATATGAATAAATTGGCTATTTACCAGAAAATATATCTTTGGTATAATGCGAGACATATCCACTTAGTGTTTTTGTGTTTTAGTTTTCTGAAGCATGTTAGATAGGACTGGTATGACTTCTAAGGTCACCTTAACTCTAAAATTCCAATTATGTAATAAGAATCTAGTGTTTATTGACAAATATTTAGAAAATACTTTTAATTTTTAAGTCAGGCTTTGAGTTAGGCTATGGGGTTAGAGAAATGAATAGAACACGTTTCTTGGTACTCCAAGGACTCACAGACCAGTGGGAGACACAGAGAGAAACAATGGCAGGCAAGTGATGCCTCTTTGAAATAGAATAGTATAAGGTGTTTATAGGAGCAGGGGAGAGTTTACTTAACTCTGCCTGTAGTTCTCGGGAGTGGCTTTTTGCAGGAACCACCTGAAATTTTTCTTCACTTTTATGCTCGGTATTTTCCTTATTCTTTTTTTTTTTTAATTTTAAAAGATGCGGTGTATAATTCAGGGTTAGGTATACAGATGTTCATTATGCAGGTACCCTTGTTGATGAGGTGTGCCCCCTTCTTATTCTTTTTATGCAGGACCTTCTCTGTAGAAATTAGTAAGAACTTAAAATTTATTTAATATCTCCTGGAGAGGACAAGTTATAAATCTAGGATGCGAGCCAGAGGAAGACTCTGAGTCCCAGTATGAGATCTGAACCTGCTATCACTGGTTTTTGTGGAAGCAAAATTAAGATAATGCTAACCAAATCCATAAATAAAATACAATATAAGAATTTGAAATATTGGTGAGATGATTAAAATTGTAAAAGATTTGCTATTGATCAGGTTTAGTGCAGGAAACAGAAACCACTCTAGGTACTTAAAGCAGAAAGACATTTGCATGATTTCTTGATGTTTCCGAACCTGATGTTTGAAAATACTCTGAAAGGGAAAGCATAATAATAGTATGGCAACAATTAGCTGATTTTTAGCACAACTGCACTTGCACAGCCTGTTAGGAAAGCAAGGGATTTATTATAGTCTGAATGTTTGTTTTTCTCTAAGATTTATATGTAGAACCTTTATCTTTAATATGAGAGTATTAAGAGGTGGGGCCTTTGGGATGCGACTCTTGCCCTTCTAAGAGAGGCTCGGGAGAGCTTGTTTGCCCCTTACACCATGTGAGGTTACAGAGAAGGAGCCATCCATGAGGAATAGGTCCTCACTAGACACTGAATCTGCCAGTGTCTTGATCTGTGAACAGAAAATTTCTGTTGTTTATAAGGTATTTTGTTATAGAACTCAAACCTGTTCTGAGTTGAACTATAAATGTATGTATTTGTTTCCTGCTAATAACTCATCTCAAACGCACTACATAACTTGTTTTTCTTTCTTTTGTATCCACATTTGCACCCTTTCCTTTTTTTTTTGAATGGAGTCTCACTCTGTCACCCAAACTGGAGTGCAGTGGCCGCTCCCGGCCACTGCAGCCTCGACCTGCTGGGCTCTGGCGATCCTTCCGCCTCAGCCTTCGAAGTAGCTGAAACTATAGGCGCGCACTACCACGCCTGGCTAATTTTTGATTTATTGTAGAGATGAGGCCTTGCCAAGTTGCCCAGGCGGGTCTCCAACCCGTGGTCTCAGACAGTCTACTCACCTCAGCCTCCCAAAGCGCTGGGATTACATGCTGAGCCACCAAGCCTGGCACCCTTTCCTTTTTTCCCCCTGAATCAGAGTCTCATTCTGTTGCCCAGGCTGGAGTGCAGTGGCATGCTCACAGTCCACTGCAGTTTCAACCTGCTGGGCTAAGGCGATCCTTCTGCCTCAGCCTTCCAAGTAGCTGGAACCACAGGCTCATGCCACCATGCCTGGCTGAGTTTTTGGGTTTTGATTTATTGTAGAGATGAGGTGTCGTCAAGGTGCCCAGGCTGGTCTTGAACCCCTGGGCTCAGGCAGTCCTTTTGCCTCAGCCTCCCAAAGTGCTGGGATTATATGCATGAGCCACCATGCCCAGCTACATTTGCCCCCTTTCTACACCAAGAAAAACCTTTAATTCTACATGTAATTGTAAAGAAAAATATCTAATAGTTAATTGGAGCAAAAACTGATTATTAATTTTTGATTTTCAGGTTGTTGCAAGACATGAAGATTTGCTGGCTCAAGCAACTGGGATTGAGTCTTTGGAAGGTATATTTCTTGTAATGAGTATGAATTATATAGAGCTAGACCAGGGATTGACAAGTATTGGCAAACTATTTCAGAGAGTAAATATTTTGGGCTTTGCTGTGCTGGTCATATAGTTTCTGTTGCAATTACCAAACTCTGCCATTGCAGAGTGAAAGTAGCCCGATAATATGTAAGCATATGTGTGCGAATGTGTTCCAGTAAAACTTCAGTAAAACTTTGCTGACCCCTGAACTAAACTATCTGGGTTCAGATCCTTGATTTATTACTTACTTACGGCTTTGGGTAAGTTAGTTAACCTTATGTGCCTCAGTTTTTCTATCTGGAAAATAGGAGTGTTAATACATACTAATAGAGCATTATTCTGAGAATTAATGAGTTAGCAAGATGCATAGGACAATGCCTGCATATATTTAGTGCTCCTATATGTGTTAGTTAATTAAAACAACAAAAACGTAACAATACCAGAGAGGGTAGTAGTGGAAGTTGGCTTGAAGGTTTTTCTTATTTTTTTCCTTTCTTGGAGTCTTTCTTTGCAACTCTTTTCAATGCAAGTACAGTAGAATAAATGGATAATACATACATTGGATTTTGATTTTTATGAATCCTCTTATTTTTGTTTGGCTAAATCTTTTATAAACTTTTCAGTCACTCTTGTTTAAACTAGATCTCATAACTATGAAATATTACTATTGTGTTTAGTATTATTACTTGTGTTGTGATTACTATTATTAGTTATTGTACATTTAAAGTTAAGTGGTTTTTCTCTATGTTGATCAATTTTTTTTTTTTTGAGTCAGGTTCTTTCTCTCTCTCTCAGGCTAGAGTGCAGTAGCATAATCATAGCTTACCAAATTCTCCCAAGTAGCTTACCACAGCCTCGGTCTCCTGATCTCAGGTGATTCCTCCACCACAGCCTCCCAAGTAGCTGGGGCTACAGGTACATGCCTCCATGCCCAGCTAATTTTTTTATTTTGTAGAGAAAAGGTCTCCCTGTGTTGCCTAGGCTGATCTTGAACCATCATGGGCTCAAGCTCTCCCTCCTTGGCCTCTGAAACTGCTGGGATTAGAGGCATGAGCAACCGTGCCTGGTACAAGTAATATTTTGATGGAAAAATTTGAAACATAACACATTTTTTATAAAAAATCTGTAAGTGGCATGAGAGTACATTGATTCTGAGTGTGTATAGATACAGATAAAATATCACAGCAAAAATATTTTTCATTGTGTTTTTTCTGTGCTTTTGTTCTATAATGTGTTTGCTTTCTCACAATATTCTTCAAAGATTACAATATTTAAAATATACTGCTAGACTGAATTAGAATGACAATCCATTGTATGAGTGTATAGAATACAAAGGCTGCCTTCTTTGAATTTCTATGATAGTCTCAGAATGTTCTCCAGATTATTTGAACATAAAAAGTTGAAGTATGAATTAGTTAGTATTCATTTTAGCATAGTGTGTATGTCTAAACACTTATTGGAACATTACTTTGAGATGCTGAAAAATATGTATATTAGAAAATTTGAATATTAATTCCAGCTTCTACTTTATCTCCTTTTTTTTCTTATACATGTACAAACTTTATCATGTAAGTAGTTTGGAGGTATGGTTATTAAGCCTATTTTATTTTAAAAATGCCCCCTAATCATTTTTTGTTCATTAATTCTTTCATTTTAAATGTTACTCTGAGAATTTATTTGATTCCAGGAAATAATAACAATAGAGTTCCTGTTCTCATGAAATTTTGAGGAATATTTATTAAACCTATTTTATTAAAAAGAGATATCATCATTCATTTGTTCACTCAATCAAATAGTAATTGAGAACTTAACTTGTTATGTACCTGGCATATGTGAATAATAGACAAAGTCACTGTTCTTTTTTTTTTTTGAGTTGGAGTCTCGCTCTGTCGCCCAGACTGGAGTGCAGTGGCCACTCCCGGCCACCGCAGCCTCGACCTGCTGGGCTCCGGCGATCCTTCCGCCTCAGCCATCCAAGCAGCTGGAACTACAGGCGCGCACTACGACACCCAGCTAATTTTCTTGATTTATTGTAGAGATGAGGTCTCGCTACCCAGGCGGGTCTCGAACCCGCGGGCTCAGGCAATCCACTCACCTCAGCCTCCCAAAGGCGCGGGATTACAGGCTGAGCCACCGAGCCCGGCTAAGTCACTGTTCTTATCGAACTTATGTTCTAGGTAGAGAGGTAGACAAAAAATAAAGTACAAATAGAAAACTTCAGATATTTGTAAATCCTACAAAGGAAACAAAACAGTCAATAAGGGGGAGGAGGGGGAGTCCCTTACTATCTGGGATGATCAGAGAAGGCCTATTTGAGAAAGTGGCATTTGAGCCAAGATCTGATTGATGAGAAGGAGCCATCATGTGAAGACTTGGGGAGAAAAGTGCTATACACTTAGGGAACAGTAAATGAAAAGGCAGGAAGGTTTTCTTTATATCAGCCTATCTATGCTCTCATTCCCTCCCTTCCCTTTCCCTCTTTTCCCCTGAACTCTATTATGTCAAATTTAAGATGCCCAAGATAACTTCTGCCCCACACCATTGAACCATGGAAAATCCTAAATCTCTCCAGTTTATCCCATCTCAGTTACTCATACCATCATCTATCCAACTTTTTCAGACCAAAATCCTAGAAAATATTGGTGTGTTTGAAGGGCAGAAAGAAAGCCAAAATGACTGGTGTTCAGTAAATGAGGGAGAGAATCATAAATGAGGGTCTTGGAAAGGAATTTGGATTTTATTTATTCTAAATGCAATGGTAAACTGTTGGAGGGTTTTAATCAAGAATGATGAGATTAGTATCCTAAATAGTTTACTCTGGTAGCTCTATGAAAAGGCAGGGGTAGAATGAGGTACACTAGTTTGGAAACTATTAGAATAGTTGAAGTTGATGTGTCAGAGTGGTGGTGGATGGGGTAAAATGGAGGCAGAGCTGATAGGATTTGCTGATGGGAGATGAAAGAGCTGATGGGAAAAAATCACCACGAATGATTTCTAGGATTTTGGTTTGAAAAGCTGAATAGATGATGGTATGAGTAACTGAGATGGGATAAACTGGAGAGGTTTATGATTTTCAATGACTTGGGTGTGGGGCAGAAGTTATCTTGGGCATCTTAAATTTGACACAATAGAGTTCAGGGGGAAAGAGAGAGGGAAAGGGAAGGGAGGGAATGAGAACATAGGCTGATATAAAGAAAATCTTTCTATATAGATATATATGTATATGTGTATATATGTGTTTATGTATAAAATTAGTATTTTATTGAACAGATAATATTTGAAACTTTGGGACTGAATGAAATCCCTGAACGATTATAGATGGAGAAGAGACGATGACTGAGGATCACATCTTGGGCTAAGACAGCATGTAGAGATGTGATAGAGGAGGGGTAGGAACAACTAATGAGACAAAAAGAAACCTAGGGAGTGTGATGAAAAAAATGTTTCAGGAAGAGAATGGTCAATTGTCTTGAACTTCTGAGAGCTTGAACAAAATAAGGAAAGAACCAACAAGAGAATTTGGCAACTTGGAGATTTCTGGTAGCCTTGATAAGATTGTGTTGGTGGAGTATTAGTGAAAAACCATTGAGAGTGGGTTGTGGAGAGAATAAGATGTAAGGAAATGGTGATAACAGGTAAAGGCAGTTCATTCCTGGAGATTTATAGTGAATAAACCATAAAATCAGAAGAAAAGTGAGAAACCTTGGGTCTAGAGAGGATTCTATTGAACTGAGCCATATGAATACATATTTTTATGCTGAAAGGAATGCTTATTAATTTTAATGTTACTTCATTTAATATATGACAACATGCTTATACTTAAATTTATTTAAACTGCTATGTTTTCAAAACAACAACTATGCCAGTTAAATATAGAAACTGGGTTTTAGAGAGGAGAAATCAGAATAAATAAATATCTGTACTAATTGAAAGCCTAAATAATAAAATCTAAGATCTGTATTCCTGAAAATATTTTTACATTTTTGTAAAATTTCCTCCTGTTATAAACCTAGATAATAATATACATTCTGTCCATATTTATTATTTTTATAGCACATGATTCATTAATTCAACATATATTTATTGATTACTTGTTCTGGGGAGGATTCTGAGTTAGGCTCCAGTCACACAGTGACTGAAATGAAAAGATATTTTCCTTAGCCTCAGGAATTTGTAGTCTGGTGGGGGAGCAAGACTTTAAACAGATATAGAAGTAGATATGTAATTATCTAATACAACTAGTGTCATGAAATAGAAGTGTAATGTGTTGTAGAAGAGAATAGCAAGAGAATCTAAATTAGTTGGAGGATCTGTTAGTAATTGTTTCTGTTAAGCTAAGGCTTCAAGGAATAGTAGCAGTTTATCCAGTGGGAGAATGGGGGTAGGAATGACAGTTGGACAGAATTTAACACGCAAAGAGTACACCATTTTCAATTTGTGCAGGCCTTGTAGACCAAAGCTACTATACTTTTAATATAGGGGCAAAAGGAGCAAAGGGGAGACCATGGAAAATCATTCAGGCTTTTTAATGTAATTGTGTTAAAATACACACAACATAACATTTACCATTTTTATTTTTTAGACTATACAATTCAGTGACATTAAGTACATTGACAATGTTGTGCAACTGTCTTCACCGTCTAGTTCCAGAACTTTTTCATCACTTCAAATGGAAACCCCATACCCATTAAGTGACTCCTCCCCCATTCCCTGTCAGATTTCTTTCATGAGGGAAGGTTTATAGAGGGAGACTGGTTATAGTCTTTTACAACAGCACAGGTCAAAGATATTGGTTGCTTGGATTAAGATCATGACAGAAAAAGTTAAAGTTCAATATATATGTGTTTTCTTTTAATTTAACTTTTAACCAACTGGACTCCTTATAAATTTGAAAAGACAATGTAAGCTGTTATGTTTTTATAGGTGTTCTTCAAATGATGCAGACAAGAATTGGGGCTTTACAGGGAGCTGTTGATAGGTACTATTCTTCACTTTATAAATAAATTGAATGGAAATATTTTTATCCATTGATATTTTGAAAATTATTTTATTTTCACACTTCTCTCTCTCTCTCTTTTTTCTTTAGGATGAAAGCAAAAATCGTGGAGCCATACAATAAAATAGTAGCTCGCACTGCGCAACTAGCAAGACTTCAGGTAGGTCCTCACTTTTTTTTATACTTTATTATTCATGTTGTTTTGATTAGTGGACAAATTTCAACAGAATGAGTTTGGAAGAAATAAGAGAATGGAAATAGAACATAAGATAAAGGGAGAAAATAACTAAAAACCTGTAAAAAAAATTCTGGTTCATAAAATGCAAATCTAAAGTAAATTATTTTTACTCTCATTGCATTGTATAATCATTTACTAACTTATTTGTGTCTTCTTTATTGTTTTATAGCTTTCAGTGTATAGACCTTTTACCTCCTTGATTAAATTTATAAGGTTTTTTTGTGTTATTGTAAATGAGAAATTGTTTTCTTGATTATTTCTTTGGATAGCTTGTTGTTAGTGTATAGAAATGCCATTGATTTTTGTATGTTAACTTTGTATCTTTTGACTTTACAGTATTCACTTATTAGTTCTAACAGTCATTGGTGGAGTCTTTAAGGCTTTCTATATAAAAGATCATGCTGTCTGCAAACAATGACAATTTTACTCCTTCCTTTCTGGTTGCCTTTTCTTTCTTTCTTGCCTTCTAGCTCTGGTTAGTATTTTTAGTACTGTGTTTAATAGAAACTGTGATGAGTGGTTTTGTTCCTTATTTTAGAGGAAAAGTGTTCAAATTTTCATTGTTGACTATGATGGTAGCTATGGGCTTGTCATACATTATCTTTATTATGTTGAAGTATATTCCTCTATAGGTAATTTATTGAGTTTTTTTAAAATGAAAGAATATTGAATTTTGCCAGGTGCCTTTACTGCATCTATTGAAATGATCATATGGTTTTTCTTTCATTTTGTTAATGTGGTGTGTCACATTTATTGATTTACATATGTTAAATCATCCTTGCATATCAGGGACAAATCTCACTTGATCATGGTGAGTGTGGTTCACATGGTGAGTGTGGTTCATGGTGTGTGTGCTATTGAATTTTATTGGCTAGTATTTTGTTGAGGATTTTTGCCTCTGTGTTGATCAGGGATGTTGACCTGTAAATTTTCTTTTCTTGTTGTGCCTTTGTCTGGTTCTGATATCAGGGTAAAGGCCTAGTAAAATGAGTGTGAAAGTATTCCTCCATCTTTGATTTTTTTGAAAGAGTTTGAGGATTGGTATTAGTTCTTTAAATGTTTGATAGAACTCAGCAGTAAGCTATCAAGGCCTTTTCTTTGGTGGGAGACGTTTTATTAAAGATTCAATTTCCTTTCCCATTATTGGTCTGTTTGGATTTCTTCATGATTTTCATGTTCAGATTTTCTTAATGATTCAGTCTTGGTATTTTGTATGTGTCTAGAAATTTATGTTTCTTCTAAGTTATCTAGTTTTTGATGTATTCTTGTTGTAGTCACTTATAATTCTTTGTATTTCTGTAGTATTTTAACTATCATGTGTCCTTTTTCATTTCCAGTTTTATTTATTTGTCTTTCCTTTCTTTCTTATTCTCACTAAAGTTTTGTTGATTTGATTTGATTTTTTAAAAAACCAACTCTAATCTCTGTTTAATCTATTTCTGCTCTGATCTTATTCATTTTCTTCCTTCAATTAATTTTGGCCTTAGTTTGTTCTTATTTTAGTTCTTAGGATTTAATGTTAGGTTATTTATTTAAGATCTTTTTTGATGTAGGTGTATCCTTTTTATTATTATATAATGACTTTCTCTTTTTTATAGTTTTTGATTTAAGGTTTGTTTCATCTATGGATAGCCACCTCTGTTCTCTTTTGATTTTAATTTACATGGAATATTTTATTTACATGGAATATCATCTTCCATCCCTTTCAGTCCATGTATGTCCTTAAAGGTGAAGTGAGTCTCTTGTAGGTGGCATATAATTGGATCTTGTTCTTTATTTATTAAGCCATTCTGTCTTTTGATTAGAGAATTTATTTATATTCAAAGTAATTAATAATAGGTAAGGACTTAATACTGCTATTTTGTAGTTTGTTTTCTGATTGTTTTGTGGATACTCTGTTTCTGTATTTCTTTCATGTTGTCCTTTGTGATTTGATGGTTTTCTGTAGTGTTAAGCCTTGATTTCCTCTTATCTTTTGTATCTATTATAGGATTTTGCTTTGGGGTTCATGAGGCTTACATAAAACATTTTAAAGGTATAACAGGCTATTTTACCCTGAGAACAACTTAACTTTGATCATATGTAAAAACTATATTTTTATGCTGTCACCCACATTTTATGTTTTCAATGTTGCAGTATGCATACATCTTTTTATATTGTGTATCCCCTAACAAATTATTGTAGCTATGATTTTTATTTTATTTATTTATTTAATTTTGAGTTGGAGTTTCACTCTGTCAGCCAGGCTGGAGTGCAGTGGCACACTCACCGCCACCCCAGCATCGACCTGCTGGGCTCCAGTGATCCTTCCACCTCAGCCTTCCAAGTAGTTGGAACTACAGGTGTGCACTACCACATCTAGCTAATTTTTGATTTATTGTAGAGACAAGGTCTCACCAAGTTGCCTGGGTTGGTCTTGAACCCACAGGCTCAGGCAATCCACTCACCTTGGCCTCCCAAAATTCTGGGATTACAGGCCGAGACACCAAGCCCAGCCTAGCTATGATTTTTGAAATAGTTTTGTCTTTAGCCATCATACTAAATATATAAGTGTACACCATCATTACAATATTAGAGTATTTTGAATTTGACTGTGTCCTTACTTTTATCAGTGAGTTTTCTATTTTCATGTTACTAATTAGCATCCTTTTACCTGGAAGAACTCCCTTTAACATTTCTTGTAAGTCCATCTACTGATGTTGAACTCTCTTAGCTTTTGTTTGTCTGGGAAAGTCTTTATCTTTGATTCATTTCCATAGGACAATTTTACTGAGTAAAATATTCTTAGTTAACAGTTTTTTTTTTCCCTTAACACTTTGAGTAGATCATCCCAGTCTTCCCTGGCCTGTAAGGTTTCTGTGGAGAAACCCGCTCGTAGCCATATTGGAATTTTTTTGTATGTGAAATGCATCATTTCTCTTTTTGTTTTCAAGATCTTCTATTTGTCTTTGATTTTTGACAGTTTGATTATAATATATCTTGGTATAATCTTGTTTGGATTGAAACTGGCTGGAGCTCTTAGAGCTTCCTATACCTAGATATTTTTATCTTTCCACAGATTTAGGAATTTTTTTGCCATTGTTGTTATTGTTTTTTAAAAATATGCTTTCTTCTCCTATTTCTTTCTCTGCTTCTTCTGGGACACTCACAATGTGTAAATTGGTTTGCCTGATGGTGTCTCATAATTCCTTAAGGCTTTCTTCACTCTTTTCCATTCTTTTTTCTTTTTCTTTGACTGGATCAAGCTCACTGAATTTTGTGTATGTGTGTGCTTGAGTCTGCTGTTGAAACTCTGTATGGAATTTTTTAGTTATTGTGTTCTTTGGCTCTAGAATTTCTGTTTGGTTCTTTTTTATAGTTTCTATTTCTTTGTTGAATTTTTTATTTTATTTGTTTATTGTTTTCCTGATTTTATTTAGTTATCTATCTGTATTCTCATACGGTTCATTGAGCTTCAAGATGATTATTTTTAATTCTTTGTCAGGCAGCTTATAAATCTCAGTTTTTTTCAGCTGTCAATTACTGATGCCTTGTTTTGTTTGGTGGTGTTATATTTCCCTGATTGTGATTCTTACTGCTTTGTGTTGGTGTCTGCACATTTGAATAAATAGGTACTTGTCACACTCTTTGCAGACTGGCATTGGTTGCGACAGCCCTTCACCAGTTAGCCTGTCCAGAGATTTTGGGCAAGCTGTCTGGCATGATCTGTGGACAGGCTTGCTGCTAGTGTCTTCAGGCAGGCTGTCCTGGTGCCTGGGTCAGCAGATGGGCAGGTCTGGTGCCTGGGTCTGTGGGGTTTGGTTTGCCGCCTGTATCTGCTGAGGTAGATCTAAGTCTTGGTCCTGTTGAGATAGGCATTAATCCTCGGTCTGCAGTGTCAGACAGGCCTCCAATGGAGTGGACTTGTTTACTAGTTCTGCAGGGTTGGGCCTGTAGCCTGTGTCCTTGAGGGCTTGCCTGGCACTAGAACTGGCCTTGAGCTTGAATCTGCAGGAGCTAGCTAGGTGTTGGAATGGGCCTGGCACCTGGGTTCATGGGGATGCATCTGGAGCCTGAGTTCACAGGAGCTGACTTGGTGTTGGGATGGGCCTGGAACCTAAGTCCATGAGTTGGGTCTGGGTCCTGTGTCTACTAGGGTTAATCTGGAGCATGGGTTTGCAAAGGTGGTCTGTCCTGGAGTATTGGTTCATTGCAGTAGCTCTGCACCTTGGGTCTATTGGAGCCTGGAGTCTGTGGATGCTTGTCTTGTGCTTAGAGCCATGGGATCTTTCTGGAGTCTGAGTGTGTGGTTGTTGGCCTCAACGCTTGGTCCATGTGGGCTAGCCTAGAGTCTGTGGCCCCTGGAGCAGGTCTGAATCTTGTGACCTTGGAGGCTAACCCAGCACTGGGTTCTGCTGGAGGAGACCTGGGATTTGTGTCAGCTAGAGTATGGGGTCACAGGGGCTGACTTGGAACATGGAGCTCTAGGGCAGGCCTGGAGTCTATATCTTTGGGCACTGGCCTAGTGTCTGAGGCCACAGGTGTAGATCTCTTGCTCAGGTGGGCCTAATACTTGGGGCTATGTGGGCTGGTCTGGAGCAAGAGAGTTCAGGGACTTGATTGGGACTGGTGTCTGTGAGTACCAACCTGGCACCAAGGCAAGCCTGAAGCTGGTGGCTGTGAAGGCTGGCCTGGTTCTGGGTTGGGCCTGGAGGCTGTGTGTGGCAGCTTGTTGTTGGGGTGGGCCTGAAGCCTGGGGTCAGAGCCTGGGATTACTGGAGCCAACCTGGCAGTGAAGTGCACCAGGAGTCTGGGGCCCTGTCCAACTTTGGGTTTTCACGGGGCAGGCCTAGGTTGGGGTCCAAGGCAAAGTCCAATGGTCACCTCCTTCTCTTTTCCCCACCCAAAGGGCATCTGTCTCCCTGATGAACTGTCAAGGGTTG